AAGAATGATCTTGTAGGGGAAGAGTTTGCAGGATCAGGCATGCATGCAGAAAATATCTGATGTTCCTGAGTAACAAGACGGAATCTGTGAAAAATGAAGGAAGAACGGTCATTTTTCTCTCTTGCAATGCAGAGCATATATTTTTAATTGGAAAAGTAAGTTTTGTAAGTCGGAGTGGGCAGGTTTTTCTTCTATTCTGACAGATTTGGTCTCTATATTGTAGCGCAGAGATGACTGATAACCCCCTTCATAAAATTAGAAACCACACCCCCAGACCATCTGGCATATTACTTAAAGAAAAACACTACCCAACATGGAGCTTATCATTGTATTCAAAAAAGAAAATCCAGGCCAATTTGTCAGAGCCCAGTGCTGCATGTCCGATTCAAAGAGAAATCCCTGTAAAGGTAACATGAAAATTCTCTGTTTATATCAGAAAACAGGGTCTTACATTAATTTGCTGTGAGGAGGATCCATAGTCAGCGATGGAGTTTTGCTGGCGTGACGGAGAGCAGAGTCTGACCCTATTTAAAACAGAAAGCATGCATGATCCCAGGAAGTAGGCAGCTGTAGCGTGCAGAGTACAGTTTTACTACTAACAGACTAAATCACCGAAACGGGGGCATTTCCTATATTCCGCCTGTGAAGTTCTCTTTGGTTTAGCAGCGTGGTTTTTCTCCTCGCGCTTCACCTCACCCATCTGTCCTGTGGGAGGTAGAGTTCATTTCATCACCTATTACGTTTGCCTCCCGCTGGGAACAGATTTTCCCCCAGTCATCTCCCTGCGTGGGGAAATGCAGGGCTGAGTGTGCTTCTTTGCATGGTTTAAGGGCATCAACCACAGGGTCACTTTAGGCCATGTGAATTTAACGGCCTGTGATTAAGAACCAGCAGAGCAGCTTTTGTTAAGTGGAGAAATATTCTAAATTAACAGTATACTTTCATGGAAAAGTGTTAGATTGCTGCGGAGCTCAATCTATTGGAAAATCTTCTGTTGACTTTGTGGCTTTTGGTGTGGTTCTTAAATTAAGGATGTTACGATGCAATGTGTTAGCTTTCCTTGCACCTCTTAAAAATTATGAGGTGGGCAACTGCCATGTGTGTCCTGTGTTTTTCCTGAGACAGAGAAAGGGAATACTCCTTCTCCTTTACAGCTGGTTGATCACATCTAGGTAAAGGGAAAAAAACCTAAACAAAACAGGATCTTGCAGGCTGCTACTTATATTTCCTTTAATAGATCAAAGTTGAAAACTTAATGACATCTATCTCTGCAGTTGGATGTCAGAAGGGCATATTTTGCATCAGCCAAAGAGAAGATCAAACAAACAGATTGATGTTGCCTTGGGCTTTCTGGCTCTAGGACCGATTTGTAAGACAGACCATTTCAGTTTATTGTACCTCACATTGAATTCCTGAAAAAAGGAGATAAGGAGAATTTCCTACACTGCTGCTGTTGGTATGAGAATACGAGACCTATGCTTTTTGGATGCACATCAAAGTGACATCTAGAAGGGTTTGTGTTGAGACTGCATATATTGGGGATTGTACCTCACATAGAATTGTTTGGGAAGGAGATGGCAATGTGAAAGTATAAAGTGATAAATATAAACCAACAGTAGTCTTAGGATGCTTTCCACATGCTTATTTAGTGAGAAGAGTAATCACATATTGGCAGAATGTTACAGGAACTCTGTGATTTATACTCCATGACCCAGTGGAAAAATGCCAATCTGACAAAAAAGAACAATTTCAGCTACACTAATGGATTGACCAAGGCTAATTGCGGGAGTTTTTATACCCATCATTGATATGTTGTCAGTACATAAAAGATTACAGAGAAATTTCTTGATCAGCTGCCACGAAAACATTTTTTTATTATTAAAACGTTAAAAGAGAGCTGCATTAATTTGGCTCATTGCAGCATCCTCCATCTTCACTTAGTGACAAGCAATGTTCAATTGCTAAACTAAGAACCAGGTTTCTAAGCTTTTTGCTCTAAGCCTCATTTTGTGAGGCTCTAAGCACCCGTAAACTCCGATTTCCTTTGCTAAGAGCTTATCCTTATCCTGCAACTTTATGCTCCTACATCAGTACATCAGGGGGAGGAAAACTGATGCAAATTAGGTATCAGGCATGTTTAAATTCAAACTGGAGAGTGCTGTTTGTAATTACTGTAGCGTCATTGTTTTAATGAAGTCTTCTGGCCACACATCCAGAGTCAACTGTGGGTCAAAGATGACTTTCTGATTTTTCAGTCCCGCTCAAGCAAGACTCCTGTTGACTTAAAGATTGCTTGAAGTGCAGTGATTTTCCCATTGACTTCACTGGGAAATGGAATTCCTTCCAAATGCCTATGGGGATCGGGGACACACAAAGTGCCTTTAGCATTATAGTGTGTCCTGTCTCCAGCCATGTGCTCCATAATTCTGATGGTTTAAAAAAAATATCGATGTCGTGTCAATAGAAATAATAGAATTTGTGTTGCTTAATGCATTGAGGTTTGACTGGAACTTGTTTTGCAGTCTGCTGTGCTAGTTTTGTAGAACTCTTTTTTTTTTTTTTAACCCCCACAACGAGACATGAACTTATGAAATGATATACATGCCTAAGATATGTAGTGAGACAGTGAGATACAGTATGAGCCAGAGGCCTTCTTCACCTTAGAAATCATCTTATAAGCAACACATGCTCCTCGACATGTCATTTTGCTTTATAAACATGATGATAGAATATGGCTAATTGCAGCTGAGTTGAGCAGTTATATATAAGCACATGGTTTAACATATTGGTTAGCTGATCATACTATTCCTTTAGTCTTACCCGTTTCTTTAAACAAGACAGCAAGAAATCAGTCATGTTAGAAAGGAGCTATGCCAGCGTGTTGAATGTGGGATTAGGACCTGTGGCTTGGGCCTGCCGTACAGCTGGCGTCACCGACAGTTTCTCTTTGCAGCAAGATGTCTGTGCCCACCAAGCAGTTCGGATTAGAGGCATTAGTTTTGTGTTTAATCTTTTTTAAACACTGTTTGCATGTGGACAGAGATGCTTCTTGCTCTGAGCCTAGCTTGGACCTTACACTGAGCAGAATTCCTGCTGCTTTCTTTTGAGTATCACTTCATTGCCTCAAATTGAGGGAGAGGGTGTGACAACCCAAAGCTGCCAAGAAGGAGGTCAGTACTAAGGTGCTGGGTGGCTGAGTGCTAGGAAGCAGAAGAGGGCTGGAGGAACGTCAGAACAGATCCTCATTTTGCATAACACCATTTGGGGTCAGGTGGATGGCCCGGTGCCACTGGGATGGGATGCAGGAGACCTGGCTCCACTCTCCAGCTCAGTCACAAACTTCCTGTGAGGTCTCAGGCAAGCCATTTTATTTAGCTCACTGATGAATTTTCTGGAGTACAAGGTATAATAAAAGGAGAAATAAAATCCATTAGTCATTGCTGTGTGACATTACAGGACTGGGACTGCAAATGAGGCCCACTATCAGCTATTCAGTCAGGTTCCAAAATTTCCCATTGAAATCAGTGGGAAACAAGCACTCTACATAGGAAGTAGGAGACAACTTGGGTAAATTGAGAATGTGGATTTCACACTGACTTGTTTCAGACAAGGATCTGCTCAGCTGCTAAGGAAAATAGACAGGACCAGTGCGTGATCCTGGTGCTACCTCTTGGACCTCCCATCTCATCATCTCTTAGCTATCTACAGTAGTATTTTCCAAGAAGTGAAGATAAACCTGAGGCACAGAGCTCTTTCTGAGTTGCTGAAGATACCGCTGTCTTCATGTCTTACCAGGCTCTGCAGGCGATTTCACAAGCTGTGTGCTCTTTAGGGCAGGATTTCTTGGAGGGAGGAGAAAAGGAGTTGGTTTGTTTATAGAGCAGACCCTTATGATGTGTATTACTAATAGCTTAGAATAAAACAAGTTCCAGAGTCACAGTCAACTACATACAGAACGGAACTGGAAGCAGGGAGTGTGACAGTGCAGAAGACAGGAGTGTAGGATGTTGGTAGCCTGCAGAGAGGGTAAATGAGTGCTGTGTAATAGCCATTTACATTTTTTAGTGCATATCACAGTTTTCTTTGGAGCCGGCAGTGAAACCTTGAAACTCTCCAGTGACGTTACAGAGGGCACTCCAAGCAGCAGAGTGCTCGGATTCTTAGTTTTGGTGTACTGGAATCTGTATGCAGTCCTCAGTTTGCTTACGTCTTCCTGATCCCCTGTTTGCAGATTGTGCTTGTCGTTTTCAGAACCCCACTGCATGGGACACGACCTGGACTGCTTCACTTAACAAAACCAAATAGTTGGAGCGGTTATTTTGTTGTTTTTTATGATAAATGAAATGCCAAGTTTTCCATCTTTGCTTTTTCTCATGGCCCTTTAACCCATGTGGTAGGCTTATTTAGGGAACAAGACAAGCCTGGATGCAGTCCCAGAGTTTGCAGTAGCTTCAGATGCCCCTCCAAAGGTTAGGATACTTCACAGGGGATTTGTTCTGCAACAGAGAGGCTAAAAGGAAACCCATGCTAGTTACTTTTTGCTTTTGATTTTGTCCTAGTACTGCCCAAGCAAGAGGAAATTTACAGAGGCAGCATTGTTTGCTGTTGGGTGTGCAATATATTTTCTACTGTATCCTCACACCAGAACTTCAAATAACTTGTAAGAATTGTGTCACATGAAGTATGATTGTTCTTATTTCTACACCTTTCCAGTAAGAAAAGCTGTATTATGCCTTTCACATAAAAATGCATCTGTTTTACTTTAGATATGGTTCAGTGTCACAGAGTGTGCACTGTTTCTGGGGGCTTGCAGTAATACGAATGTTAGAATTAAATTGTACATGCTTCTACATGACATTTAACATCTATGTTCTTTCCTGCCTTATGCCCCTGCAGTTGCTCCTGACAGGAGTTACATTAGACTAATTGCAGCAGGATTTGGTCTTGTGCATATGAACAGCACAGATTTATATGTATGGAACAGCACTGCAGCAACGTTGATGCGAATAACATAGCTGAGGTTTAATATTTTGTTTCCTGTTCTAGGATATGATGATGTTTCAGAAACAAACTTGAGGTCTTATAGTGTTCATTCTGCTAAACATGTGCAAGAGAATCGTCCTGTGCCCATTCGCAGAAAAAGAAGCATTGGTAAGAAACAAGCTATTTGTACTTAGGGAGTAAAAACAGAGAGGGTGCTTTTGGTCAGCCAAGCAGGACATTTCACTGGAAAAATGTGCCATGCACAAAGGAAAAAGGCCATTGCTAGTTTCTGCCTTTCTTTTTGCACAAAACGAGCTGTTGCTGGAGAAGCTGTCTTCTGGAGGATGTCCATAGGAGACAGACAAGCACAAATTCTTTACATTCACTTTCTTGTTGCAGCATGTTAGAAAGCTAGACCTTGGTTAGAAAATGCTGTGATATTCAATGTATAATTCATAGTGTGGGGAACAGCTACAGCAGTGTGCTTTAAAAAACATCAACAGTTGGTAGAGTTTTCAGTACAGAAGCTCCGCAAAAGGAAACAGCTTGACTCTTTATTCACAAGAAAAAAACAGTTTATCCAAAAATTTAAAAGCCATTGACGAAAACGCTGGGGCATTGATTTCCATCATTGTGTAGGGCACCAGGTATGTTTACAGAGGATTTTGTTCTTACTAAACAATCATGATGGTGATCCAACAAAGCCCAAATACAAATTTAAAGACATGCTAATGAATTTTAGAACAGGATTATTATGCAGTGCTTGTTCATCTGATTAGATCTGAGTGTTTTACCATTCCAGTTGACTGTGGAAAACAACCATGATCTTATCTATTATAGGTAATTCAGAGTCAATATATTTGTACTTTAAGCCATGGTGGTACACAGTAGATAGCACAGCATGCTGTCAGCATGGGTTTGCAGTGTGAATTGGCAAGCCTGCTCGGCACATTGAATGCCTCTAGAGAACAGCGGTTCTGAAACAGTCTGCTACACTTGGCACCTTACTCTGTAAGGTGTTGAATGCCTCCCCATAAAAGTCAGTGGGAACTGGATATGCTCAATAACTTGTAGGAGTTGCCAGCTATCTTGCAGAATTGGATCCGTTAATTTTCTTGAGTTCATGGCACTGGGGATTAAGAAGAGGAATTTTCACTCTATTTAGCCAACTGAAATGCATCTCTTTCAAAACTAAGCCTAAATTTTCATGTTACAGGCACAGGTCAGGCCTGAACTTCTTGTACTTCAGAAGTAACCGAAGAAGTGCAGGCAGTATTCCAGTTCCCTGACACATCTAACCCAAAGCCATCACTGATTCCACTGCAAGGCAAAAAACATCCAAGCTGCTTTCGGAGAACTTGCATTAAACAAGTTGTCCCTGCAATTGCTATTATTTTCTGGACCGTTTTGAATTACCTCCTTGACTTCCTAGGCAGTCCCTATGTTGAGAGCAATACACGGTATGGATTTTTCATGGCAGCAGCATGCAGCAATACAGAGCTACTCTTTATGATCCTCATGTGGCTGCAACTGTTGTCTGCAAGCTCACCTTACCTCAGCCCAGCAGGGCAGTGGTTTAACTGCAAGTTTTTCAGTCATGCTACTCCTGTGGTTTTGCCTCATTCAAGAAATAACAAATTAAATAAAACTCACCATATAGAAAGCATTGATAATTTCATTCAGAAAAAATGGTAGTTGCCCTTTGGAATAGCAGATGGACCAGCCTCCCTGATGTGGGGATGTTAAGATTTTGGAAGTGGAAACACAAGACTTGAAAGTTTCAAGCTGGTGCAAGTTATTTCCCAGCTCAGCCACTTCGGATGTGATCTAAATATCCTCAGTGCAACCTCTGTGGTGGTATTTGTCAGGTATTGCATGTTTGTGTGATAATATGTGTGTGCAGTGATGGCCCCAATGCTGTAAAATAACAGCTGCTGTTACACAGTCACTATGAGGCTGTATTAGAGGCTCATCTAATCTGGAGAAGCCCCTGTCTGCTGTCACTTCTGAAGAGCCAGGATTGTCTTATCTAATAGTTTGTGCTCCAAGCTATGTTGGGAGCCAGGCTATTGTAAACCCTCATGTTAGTGCTAGGCTTTTGGACTAAGTCAAGCTTCTCCCTAGGGTAGCACACACAGCTTAGTGGTAGGCAGTACTCGGCACAACTAGTCAGTAATAGGAACTGAGAACGCCATCTCAACCCACCAGCTAAGGGTGCCACTCATAAATCAGTGGTGCAAAGTATCTGGGTGCTCTGAGCTGAGAGCAGCTGCTCACCTGGAAGTGTGAATTTCTTGTGTTTACAGAGGAAGCCATCCCGGCTGTTTGCAAAACACGGACGGTTATATATGAGATACCTCGGAGTCAGATTGATCCCACCTCTGCCAACTTCCTGATATGGCCACCCTGCGTGGAGGTGAAACGTTGCACTGGCTGTTGCAACACCAGCAGTGTGAAATGCCAGCCATCGCGGATACATCACAGAAGTGTCAAGGTGAGCAAATCGTGGCTGCAGAGCCCTGAGAGGCTCCTCTTAAGTCTAAAAGCTCCAGGTATTCATGTGACTGTTCTGTGTGACCTGGATCTTTATTATCTATCCTCATAGCCCCAGGATCAGATACAATGCTCCTCTCCATTTTGAGTGAGCAGATGGCCTTTTCAAGTTACCCGGTCATTGGAAAAATCTTGGGTTTGGGTTTGATTTTCATAGAATTCCCTTTAGGTTTTTGTTCTTTTGTAATGAAAATAAAGTTGATTGTGTCTTTCCCATGATCTCGCACAGTACAAATCTGAAGTTAAGAAGATAAAATGACTCAAGGGGCATTGGACTTAAAAAAATAAATAAATCACAGTATGGAATGCTGTTTTCTTAATTAAATATTATGCAGTCTAAATTGGGCTTTTATATTTGACAACATAACACTTTTGATCTGAAAAAATGTGTTTCAAATTATCTTACCCCAGGGATAGAAGACTCAACGGCTTCATGCTGTATTTACTCATTAGACAAAATCCCTGTTGCAATTTTCCAGTAAATATTACGTGAAATATTTCTTATGTTCATTCGGCTTCACTGTGTTCTAATTTTTATCAGTATTTAAACAAGTAATGTTGATCTACATCTGTGTGTAGGAGATTAGACTTACACTTAGCATTTATATTGTTAAGACTCTGAGTTCTTGTTGCCCTGAGTATTTTAAGAGCAGAATTAAAAAAAACCCAAACCACATTCTTGAACATAAAATTGCCCAGCGCAACACACTGATCACCGTATGTGCAGTGGATTTTGTATTGAGAAAGGTGTGCTGTATGTCCTAAACACAAAATAAGGCATCTTAGACATTCCAGTGTTTTTCATACACACAGGCATGCATCTGAGCAAGATTTCTTTTACTTTTCTGTTTCTGAAAATGTTTTCTGAAAAATGTTTTCACACCCAAATAAGCTGGAGAAACATCTGAACAGATTCCCTCAGTCTTTCCAAAAATAATTATAATTTACACTTGCTTGATGCCCTTCCTTTGTGGGATATGCTTTGCAGAAACAATTAAAAATGAGGAAAGAATTGAGATCAATAATTATTTGAGGGCTGAGAGGGAACTGGGGAAGTTGAAGCGCTACAGTTGCAAGCCATTAAGAATAAGAGCTAAACAGCAAAGTGCCTCAGGGTTATAATATCTAGTGCTGTTGCCTTTGTGTTTGATACAGCTTCCAGCTAATTTTGTGTCAACTAATACAGACAAAGCAGCTGGAGATGCCCAGCAAAAAGTTGAGCCGTGTATTGTGAACTTGTTGTTGGTACTTGTGTGTGACATTGCAACCCTGTGCTTGCTTCCTACCCCTGCAGTGATGGGGAAGATAACAAATAGAGAGAGTGAGGTTTGCCTGTCGAAGTTCCCTGCTGCTGCAGACACCGAGGTTCCGCAGAAGCTGTAAACTCCACAACTGGCAGCAGCTTTGCAGGATGTCGTTGCTGGGCCTGCTTCCCCAGTGCACCGCCACGTTAATAAAGTCTTAGTTTCTCATCAGTCCGCTGATAGAGTTTCAGTGCTTTTAGATTTGCATTCATTTTAGTAGGGTGCAAGCTAAAAGTAGGTTCAGCTGAGCAGCTGCTTTTTGTGGCTGTGTAAATATATTGCCACCAGCAATATCAATATACATCAGCCAGTTTTGGGGACTTTTTTTTTTTTTTCCCAAGCTCCAAGACTGCTCCAAACAGTCATTAAATAGAAGGGAAAAAAAGGACAAGAGGTCAAGCAGGAACAGGATGTTCATTGTAAAGGTTGTAGGCTGACCCCACTGTCACACCAGAAATCTCTGAACAGAATCCATATTTATGCCCTCCAGAGTCAGATCTTCTTGTAGCTTTGATATAATTGATGGTTTTATGAGCTTTTTACCAATCCTACGTTCAGAGCTGAATGTCTGCTCATGCCATTAAGTAGCTGGCCCAGAGTGAGGGTCGCTGGAAAGGTAGGGGGAGAGGTTTCGGAGAGCCTTCTCAGCTGTTCCAGTTGGAAAGCCTTCTTGTATTTTCCCCTGATGTCAGACTGCATAAAAGCCCTCTTTTGATTGAACATTGAAAAGGCTTTTCCCACTTCCTCTTCATTGACAAGGTAGTGAGATCATAGCTGGCCCATTCACACTAGAAAAATGTTCGTCCAGAAAGGTCAGCAAGTGGGTTTGCATCATCCAACAGGCGAAAGCAAAGGGTGTTTTCTTTGTCTTACTGAGGGCCACTGTAGTCAAGGTTAAGAGACCGCAGTGGCAGTGTGGGAGGAGCAGCGGAGGTGCTTGTATTGGGGCATTCCGTTCTTGGGACGTGATTCAAAGGCTGTAGGGTTCAGGCATGTCCTTACTTTGCCTTCACTGGGCTTTGGTCAGTGAAGTACTGTTAATGGGCTTGTGGAGTGGGAGCTGTAAGGTACTCCAAGCCAGGGGTGTTGCTGGAACAGCTTCCCTGAAATGGGTCCTCTAAAGTCCTCCCTTTCATGGAGTGGGTTAGTAAAAGGTAGGTTTGCCTTGCACCGTAACAGAGTGAATCCATGAGAGAATAGCTTCCTGGTCCTAAAGACATCTCTATTCAGCCAGCTGTACCTGTACAGCACTGCAAAAATCAGAGTGAAATAAATAGGCTGGCTAGGAATTGCTCTTTGATAGGAAGGAAAGCATTGCGTTTCTCTCCTGATAGAGTAAAGGTGACATGGATTGGCGAGTTAGGGGTGTTGGTGTCTGTTACAGATATATTTCCTCCCCTGTCTGCAAAAGCATTTCAGTAACATCTGCAGATTCTGTTGCTTCTGCATAGCGAGATCAAGTATTTGCCAAGTACCAGACCATAATTTATTTGGGGGGTTTCTTAACTGAAGTCTTCCCAAGAGGTTTTTTGTAACGTTGAGCATGTTCTTAGTGCTTTTGGTCACAGCAGCAAAAAACAGTCTTACAGAATAAATCCTGCCTATGCTATTAATTTTTAGTAGCCAAGCTGAATATTATGGTTGTTTGCAACAAAGATCTAAGAAAAAAGAAACTTGAGAAAAAAGAAACTTGAGAAAAAAAGAGCTAAATCACTCCATCTACCTCAGCTTTGCCTTCTGCTTGGCCTTGAGTTAAAGCCATACCAGCGTTAGGCATTTCTGAATATTCAATGTCAAGACAATTTGAGGAAGTTTAACCGAGTGTATTCTTACAGTACATTAATATGAGGGAAAGATGCAAAGAAAAGGAGCTGGAAAGGAGGGAATGCAGGAGCAGCTCCTCAGGTGTCATCTGGGAGTTGTTCCGAGAGGTCTCTAAGAGAGAGGGAAAAAATGCAGGAATTCAGAACAAGTTGTTCAGCAGAGCTACCAGCCTCTGAAGAGGTTAAAAAGGCTTTGCAAGAGCAAATTGTGCATGTAGGTAAAATGGCTGTATGCAATGTTTGCAGGTTTAAGAACATTTTTCTTCGGTGACTGTTTCTATCATTAGCATAAACAGCACTTTGATTTTAGCTGTGGCTTCACTGGAGATTACTGCCAGGACTTGGTGGAACCTGCTGGGAAGACCAGCTGACAGGTATCAAAGGTCAATTGAAAATGGAAGAAACAAGGGAAACTGATACAGGTGAAGTCAAGACGGAATACCAGAGGGGTGCCCTCGGAGCGTGAGAGGAGCTCTGTCACCGGCAGTTGCCTGGCAGAGGGCAAGGTCTGGCGACTCCGGCTCGGGGAGAGAGGCCAGAGACCCCACATCAGCCATTCCCCCGCGGGCGGGTGACGAGTTGGCTGCAGCTCCCTCAAGCTCTGCCCCCGGGCCCTTCCTCCAGCCGGGCCCTCGCTGAGGCTCCGCCGAGGCACCTCCTGCCGCCCCCCCCGGCGCCTTCCCGGCGTGCCCCGCGGCCGCCTCAGCTTCCCGCGCACCGGGGACTGCGTTTCCCAGCGTGCCCCGGGGC